TTTACATTCTAGTTCATATCATAATCTTAGCACTCATAATTAGTAGGATAATTTAACTTATACACAGAATCATTTGCAGTAGTAAGGTTGCATTCTTATGAAATTAGATCACTGTGACCTAGATTTGAAGCTAATAATATGTCATATTTATTAATGCAGGTAGAAATAAATTCATTATGCTTTTTTGCAGGTCCTTGTGATAGAAGAGCCGCCCATGCCAAATTTGTCATAAAAAGATTTATTAATGAAGGAAGAGACGTCACTTCTGCACTTGATATGAAATAGGTATTATTCAAAGCATTATTTAAAAAGTGGATACTCAATGTAGGAAAAGATAGTCGGACAAACCATGTATCTATATCCTGATGATCTAAAAACACACACACAAGGGTAAATTAATGTGCAATCAAACATTTGTCATGTGAGCATAAACCCAAGATATTAATATTGGGGTACTCAGTGTTGGATAATTCTATAAAACTAAACATTACCTCAATGTAAAATGATTGACTTTTTGATGGAACATTTGTGTTTGGGCCCTGAATTATGTCTACTTCAACGAGTAAAATTATTATATGAAATACTTTTTTTCTTAAACATAAAAGTTATTCTGTTATTTTTTCAGGCCCTAGAGAAATTTGGACAAAAAACCTACAGAGTAAGAGTAGTTGTTTTAGTTTTAGATCTGGATGCAGAAAAAACATAAAGAGCCAATAAAGAATGTTTCCAATTTCTACAACTTTAATTTTGGAGATGATGGTTTGAGAATGTGGCAGGCATACAACATTGGTGAAGGTAATACAATATACTAAACTTGTTTCACAATTATCAGTATGAATGACATCTACATGTATCAATTTTATCCAATAAAAAGTCTCAATTCAACAACATTTTATTTAGTTCTTACTGTATTTCAGGATGGTTTGCATAACTACAATGATGGGATGGATATACATATAAAAATATAAACGTGTCTGTTTGAAATTTAATGAATTTGGTTAAAGTCCCATAACTCTTACAAAATTTGATGGACAACTACTTTTAAAATGACCCTCTGACATTTTGAATTTTGATACAAAAAAGGAGCTATTTGTGTTCATGAATGTCCCACAAGAGAAGAGACAAACTTTATATAATGTACCTTCATTGTTTACAGGGAAATTGGTGCAGTGGGATTCCCTCAATCCATCTAAGAATGCTGTGCAGTTAAAGGTCATCAGTGATTGGACTGACATAGCAATTTCAGATTCCTATGAAGGTAAGCTTTGATATTTGGTAGGATATATTGTTATGATATCCAAGTATAAATTCAAAACAACAGTCATACATATGATTGCGTTGGATAAAAACCGCAAATTTTTATACATCATGCATGCAAAACAAATTTCTTGGTTGAGGGGTCTAAATACAGCACAAACAGTGAAAAGGTATATTTTAACATATTGTTATTATAAATATACTCTAAACCCCATTTTGATTCATCAAATTGTGTAAGAGTAATTTGACTAATGAACCATGTTCATCAGCTATGAAAGGAAACTACATTTTCTTCTTCATTGGCGTCAACATTGATTGTCTCTGCAGGAATTCATTTCCCACATGTGATTATACAAGTTCGTTTATTAAGTAGATATTATGATAAGGCTGCTATTTTATTATATGATATATATGTATATATTAATAACTTTTATATTTATTTTCTGTAGATCCAGTACCAACAACAACAAAACACAAACAAAGTTTGATATGCCCTTTGGAGAACTGCATCCGTGAATTTAAAAAAAAAGAAACACTAGATCAGCACATCTTGCAAGGACAATGTGAACATCAGTTAGAAAAAGAAGCATTGTCTGACAAAAGCAAAATCATATATGCTAAGAAATTATCAAATGCTCCTTTGTGTTGCCCAGATATGACTGCTGAAAATGTTTTTGAAGATGTCAGTTTGGTCAATAGGTGTTATGGATGGGCTTTGAAATCAAAAAAGAAGAAAACAGTTTTCAATCAAAAGCAGAAAGACTATATGATTGAGAAATTTCAAATTGGCAAAAGAACTGGCAGTAAGGTTGATGCGAACACATTTTCTGAAGAAATGAGGTCAAGTCACCTTGGATTTTCTAAGGACGAATTTTTAACAGGCTAACAGATTGGAAGTTATTTTTGTAGACTTGCTCAACAAGACAGAAAATCAGACAGCAATGACTACCGTGCTGCAGATGAGGAAAACAGAAGATCTATTTAGAAGAAAGAGATCACTAAATCTATTGACATTTAGTAACAAGAACTTTTTTGAGGGTTATGTGCTTTATTGGAAATAGATTTTTTTTTTACTTTTCTACTTCTATACTTATATATAAACATTATTTTTTAACCTAATAACTCGTCTTCAACAACATTTTTGTGTGGCCTGCACACAAAATGTGAAGCGACATATCATGCATATAGGGACCACTGTAGTCATGGTCGATGACGTCACACTTTTCCATTTCGAATTTCTTAGCTTCTACTGGATGGATAATTAGATATTTGGTACATGGCTTTTACATGGTCACTTGCAGAGTGTCTCCCCTTTTCAGGTACGTTGCTCATCTACTTCCTGTTTATCGATCAACTTTGTTGTTTTTTAGGTGCTGCATAATGGAAATTTTCGTTACAGTTTTCCAAGCTTCTTCTTGAGGGAATACTTGGATATTTGGTACATGACTTTAACATGATGACTTGCACTGTGTCTGCCCTTTTCAGGTGTCTGCAGTACCAACTTCCTGTTTTTCGTATACTTTGAAATTTTCACATAACACTGGTCATACATGTACATATGCAAAAAATTACGTAATAGTTGTAAAAGGTAGGCAACACACGTCTTCCATGGAAGACTCACATCTAAGTTTAAGTTTTCTGAGTTATGCCACTGCAAATTAGTTGTCTTGGGATTGGTTTTCTCCTTAATTTGATGTGCAAGCATGTGATTATCTCATCTGCAGGTCAAACCAATTTGAACACACATTTGACCCTTCTCTGTAACAGAGTTTTGCTTATTTTTCAGTAACTGGGAAACATTTGAAAAATGATGAACTTGTATGCATTTTTGGATATGTTTTCAGAGCAATCAATATATTTATGATAATATGTTAGCATTCAAGAATAGTTTGGTCACTATGGTCTACATTTTACAGCCTAACTTGACTTGTACCTTGATATTTGTTTGTATAGTTAACATGATCATGATGATATGCTAAGTTGAATGTCAATAATGGAAGTTATTTTCAAATAGGTTCTTTTAGTAATTGTGGGATAAAGGTTACCATACATAGCAACTACTATCCAAACAGATCTTTTTTTTTAAGAAACATGAAGTATGGTTACTAATATGACTATTTTCAAATACTTATTGTATTTAGTAAGAGGATGACATTAATAATAGAATAAGAGAACTTTGTAGCCGATATGAAAATATTTTGGCGGGAAACCGAACTTCTCTAGATTTTTCATCAGTTATAACGGATATTTTTCATGAATCTTTAAAGTCTTATAAAATTTTAAGATAATTCCTAGAATGTTCTCAAATTATCTTACTTAACTAGTTTTTATGTTTCTAACATATACATGATATAAATGAAAGATAAAGGGCTAATGAGAGAAAAAAATATATATACCATAGTTTAGATGGATAAACCCTGAGAATTTTGAATAATTTGTCCGAAATTAAAAGTCACCATCCTTAAACTATCAGTATATGTCATTGTTATGTTATTTTCACTTTAAGGGCTGAATATGCTCGTATTTATTTGTGTTTATCATGTAGTTTAATGTGTCTGATGATCTTTTTAAAAAATTTCAAAAAATAAAAAAATTGAAATACTTGACATTTTATTTGGAATATTTTTTTTTTTGCCATAATTTGCCCATTGATTTTTTTTTCTCATTTTGTAAAACTATCTTAGTACTACCCAGGTTTATGATACAGAATACTCCATGATGCTGGCTTTTCATAGAAAAATGGGTCCAACGTTGGCATTATTTCATTTTTTCCCGAAAATTGACAAATAATGAATCAGGGGTGTCATATGGCTCTTTTCGTAAATGTATGTTAAATGTAAAAACTGAAAGTATGTGCTTAATCCAATTGTTTTACACATTATATCTGGAAAATGTTTATTAGTTGTCTAAACTACTATTAAGTCTGAAAATGTCAATATTGGGCATTTTTCTGAGATTTTGAGTGGTCAAAATCAGCCATAATGGTAACCATAGCAACCACGCGCACCATCCATAAAATCTTTCCAGGTAAGTTTCTATTGAGTGGTACTAAGTATAATAATAAAGTTTCATCAAAATCTGAGACTATGTGTGCCAGGCCTATTCAGAATTTCTTTGGTGATTACAGAGAATTGCTCTTAATACATCGTAGACCTACAAATAGCTTTAAGTATCAACTGGTGCGATACGCTTTGATATTCATCAACAACTATTTTTTTTATTTCCTTTCAATAGATCACCTAAAAAACAAATATAGCTTTACTACCAATTCTGACATACACTGGCCGATGACATTGTGGTATTCCTTAATACAACATAAAAAAAAATTCACGAACACCATAAAAATACTAATATTTTAGGAAGAGGAAATGAGGATTCTTAAGACGGATATACTGAGTAAATCTCTGTGTACACGATTGCTGTATGATATGAAGTAGAGATATCAAGAAGAAATACAGCAGGCAGTTTTTTTATGATAAGACAGAGTTGACAGCGTTATACATTGTAAGACACAGCTAAGGGGTCGCCATTTTTCGCCCTTTGTCACAGTCTACCCACGTTGCAGAACGTTATACTATTTGATTCGCTGTTTAATTTCTTCTCATCTTGTTTTATATTTTTTTCTATTTTTTTAAATTTGTAAAAGATTATCTCATTGCCCCCTCGGCATCTTTTTAAGTGTTTCAAACATCTCATTTTAACCATTACTGTCGGTCTTAAAACTATAAACATAATAGTAATACCTGTTTGAGCACCAAACATAATGATAACACAGAGGGTTCCAGCTCTGACTACATTCGCTGCCATCATGGTGACGACAAGTCCAATTCCATAAAGTATGTTATTCTCAACTGATTCAATATAAGCAATCAATTCATTTATGATGAATCCCTACAAGAAATATTTCAACTATGAACAAGAATGTGTCCATAGTACACGGATGCCCCACTTGCACTATCATTTTCCATTCTAAGTTCTGTGGACGGTGAAATTGGGGTCAAAACTCTAATTTGGCATTAAAATTAGAAAGATCATATCATAGGGAACATGTGAACTAAGTTTCAAGTTGATTGGACTTCAACTTCATCAAAAACTACCTTGACCAAAAACTTTAACCTGAAGCGGGACAGACGGACAAACGGACGGACGGACGAACGAACGGACGAACGAACGGACGCAACAGACCGAAAAACGTAATGCCCCTCTACTATCGCAGGTCGGGCATAGAAATCCTAACATTTCCAAAATATAGTCTTTGTGCTAATTTTATTGATTTAAAATAGGTGCGTAAAATGTTTTTCATTATTGGTATATTTCATAACTAGAAATTTATGTATACAGATTTGTTGCATTGCAGTATAAATGCCTGGGAATTCACAATGCACACAACATGAGCGGAAAAGAATATTTTGGATTATATTACACCACTGAAGTGCGCTAAAACTTTTGCCAAATAAGATGTAAATACGCGTTTTTTATTCAAGAATTTCACAAAACAACTATATGATCTTGAGGCAACTGAATAAACTTGGAACGCTTAACAGTGATGTTATACTTTACATATTAATCTCAGGACCTGTTCCCCTGTATTTTATATGATGTTATCTTACTAAATTTACCTAACCCATTTGGAATCGTTATGAAAAATATACATACCGATACTAGAAAAGTTGACAGAGCATCGACTACTACAATGATCAAGCTGACTAAAATTCGAGTCTGACAGAATTTTAACCAACAACGTAGAACCGAAGCTTTCTTCTCTCCTTTTGATTTCACTTCATCTTTCCACAATGCTTCTAGTCTGATCCGGAAGAAAGATTGCACAATCATATGAATGTATATATATTATATACCATTACAATAATTATAAAATTTTAATACAGTAATTGATTTCAATCTTAATCTTGAAGTGCAAGGGAATGCTTGCATTAAATTTTAGCAGAGAGGGTGGGGGGTTATAAAAAATATCTAATCTTCATACATTCATTCTACTTTTCCGCCTTTATCATGTTTATCGTGTTTAAAATTGTATTATCATTAATAGCACTAATATAGACATTGAAGTCCAACAATAATTCACTAATTTCAGTAACGATCATTGCGTGTCTGTGTAATAAAACGGACACAGCTTATGGCGGAGTACAGTAAAAGGGCTGCTGCAGTAGTTAATATATAAATAAACTTTTTAAGATTTGGACTGACTGTTCGGTACATTTCGTTATCCTTATGAGAGGTGAGACAATTGCGCTGCTCTTCCACCCAAACCCATTGTTCTACTGCCTATCATTATAATCGTTATCTAAAAATACTCTTTCGTAACGCTATGTATTTTTAACATGTTCATTCCTAAACTTTTGTTGTGAGTTGTGGCAGTAGTCAAATGAAATGAGGAGACCACATTTTATTTCACAAAGTGCATTATTATTTATATTTTTTCATACTACGGTAATTTTTAGCCAATAATACATTAGTCTCCAGGCTTCTACCCTACATCCCACTTATTAGTGTCTCCAGGCTTCTACCCTACATCCCACTTATTAGTGTCTCCAGGTATCTACCCTACATCCCACTTATTAGTGTCTCCAGGCTTCTACCCTACATCCCACTTATTAGTGTCTCCAGGCTTCTACCCTACATCCCACTTATTAGTGTCTCCAGGCTTCTACCCTACATCCCACTTATTAGTGTCTCCAGGCATCTACCCTACATCCCACTTATTAGTGTCTCCAGGCATCTACCCTACATCCCACTTATTAGTGTCTCCAGGCATCTACCCTACATCCCACTTATTAGTGTCTCCAGGCTTCTACCCTACATCCCAATTATTAGTGTCTCCAGGCTTCTACCCTACATCCCACTTATTAGTGTCTCAAGGCTTCTACCCTACATCCCACTTATTAGTGTCTCCAGGCATCTACCCTACATCCCACTTATTAGTGTCTCCAGGCATCTACCCTACATCCCACTTATTAGTGTCTCCAGGCTTCTACCCTACATCCCACTTATTAGTGTCTCCAGGCTTCTACCCTACATCCCACTTATTAGTGTCTCCAGGCTTCTACCCTACATCCCACTTATTAGTGTCTCCAGGCTTCTACCCTACATCCCACTTACATGTATTAGTGTCTCCAGGCATCTACCCTACATCCCACTTATTAGTGTCTCCAGGCTTCTACCCTACATCCCACTTATTAGTGTCTCCAGGCTTCTACCCTACATCCCACTTATTAGTGTCTCCAGGCTTCTACCCTACATCCCACTTATTAGTGTCTCCAGGCTTCTACCCTACATCCCACTTATTAGTGTCTCCAGGCTTCTACCCTACATCCCACTTATTAGTGTCTCCAGGCTTCTACCCTACATCCCACTTATTAGTATGTTCAAGTTGATTCTGATTTTACAACATACAAAAGGAAATTAAAAGTGAGCTAAACCTGTCATATGTTCACCTGTCAGTATTAACTTTGGAAGCCTCATAATCTGAACACTCCCAGATGTCTTCCTCCTTTAGATCCTCATCTCTATGTTTAAACATCTTCATGACTAGAGGTGTCATCCATGTCATAAACATGTATGACAATAAACCAGCCTTATTAATTGGTATTTTACCATCTCTAAAGATATTGAAAAAAACGTTGAACAGTGTTAAAATATATCTATATCACATTAAGATAGTAACTTAACTTGTATGATCAATGAATTTGAAAACCGATGAAATAGTATTCCCTACCAGTTATTCCCTATCAGTAATGTATATATTTGGTTTAAAAAATCATACTCACTGCATTAAAGATAAAATATAAAGTTAATTGTTTATTGTTAAATGTTTTGCAAGTTATAAAATGTAATAAATGTGTGTTTAACTGATTCCTTTTAGTCCAATGACCAATGTAACAAATAAAACTATAGTCGAGAACAGATTAAGTCTTAAAAATTGAAAGTTTATTTTTTTTACTATTTTTTTATACTTGGGACATGCTAGAAATTATACAAATCGAAGGCTTACTTTGATGATGGTCTGAAGGGCTTCAGAACTTTAAGAGCTGTAGAATATTTCCGGGAACCTTGTGCATCTCCACTGGTAAAGCCATTTGCCACCTCTTCTGTAATTTCATATTTACTGAAATATAATGGATTTTGCTTTCATAGTGTGTTGGCCTATGTATACAACAAAGGTTTAAACAAGACTACGTTTACTTAGGACACCATGCTCCGTTCTCAAATAAAATGTAAACTACATTAAATCAAACTTTTTTCCTACCTTAAAAAAAACTTTAAACCTATCAGTGAACTGCGAAATGAAGGTCAAACCAGAAATTTGTCATAAATAATATATATAAATTTCGCATCATAAAGAACGCATAAATTAAGTAGATGTGACCTGAACTGTATGTTAAACTATCTAAAATCAAACTTTGAAGCTATCTTAATCAAAACTTTGAACCCGACACGAGACGGATGAACGGACGGACGAATGTACTCATAGACGGTTCAGAAACACAGACTGCAAATCATAATGCCCCCACATTTCGGGTAACCCTTAAATCGGTTCAAAGGTTTAAATCGAATTAAACAAAATTTGTTCAAGTTGATAAATGTATCGATGACATAATTATATTATTATAGTAATTATAATATCATTTAGGGAACACCAATAATGTACTCTGCGTAAGAATCTTTTTTAGTCTAACGATTATTACACGATTATTACAAGGGCTTTATGCCGGCGTCACACATTGGCGTATAGACCGACGTGCACCAGACGTGCAGCGAAAACTGACTAAGTCCGTATACGTTAGGTGCACGCAAGTGCACGCAAGAGGAACGCTAAGCAATCGTTAGACGCGCGTTGCATAAGTTTGAAGTACGTCCAAATGCAAAGGTATACGCTTGGTGAACGCTATAACTCCAGGAAATTTGTATGCAGCATAAAAATTTTCATCTAGCTCTAGCGTTTGTCAAGCGTATACCTGTTCGCTACACGCACGAAATACGTACGTTACAAGCGCGTTGAAAAACGCTACAGACAAGTTTGAGACACGTTTAGGGCACGTTGTATACGCCTCAAGATCGTTCGACTTTTCCTTGGACGTATCCGGGACGTGTTTGTAACATACGCCTGACGTAGTGTCAGCGCTCCGTGAACGTATAAAACGCACCCGTGGCGTTTCAAAAACGTATTCTGACATTCAACGAAACTTACTCTGACATTTATAGAGGCATATGTCCGTAAATTTGCATATCCATGTGCATGTATAAAATGGTATGAAAGGTTGGGCAGTGTTCAGTTTGGCACTTGCTATAATGGATTTCCTGGAGAGAATCAGGAGGGAATATTATCTTCTAGCCATGGCTTTACAACATGTAGACCAAATTCACCTTAACATGCACCAATAGTTACTAGGCATTAGAAGGCGTCGAGAGGAGAATCTACCATTTTCTACATAAGGAAATGCCTTTACCAGTAGTATGAAAAGGCCGATTCTGCCGCAATCGCATTTTCAAGGGGAAATCCTGCATAGGACCCCCAGCCCCGACGGCCAAATGCAAACGGACGGCATCCCTATTGAGCATAGGGTAAATACTAGAATGTCATATGTATTCGATGGTAGAAAAGTCGTTCCAGAGGATAGTGGGGATAAGGATACCTTAAAGGGAAGGATGTCACAGATTAAAATAAATAAAGATATGACATCCGAAAGAAATATGATGGATTTCTTTCTGGAGAATGAAGAAGATTTGGAGGATAACACCCCAACCCCCCAAAGGCAGCAGCAGTGCTGCAATGCTCCAAACATAGTGCAGATGGATGAGCATACCGAGCAGTGTCAAAAATGCGGTTCACAATCCACCAAGTCGCGATTTGAGCATCATCAACTAGGGGAGCAGAAGACCACTTGCAATGTTCCACTCAAGAGGAAGAAGGGTCAGTTCTGCAAGAGCAAGCCCGGGAAGGATGGTCTCTGCTGGAGACATAGCAAGCAACCACGCCAGCAGGAGGAGGAGGAGACCATCCCAGTCGAGGGTAAGATGGTGGTAAAAGAGACCATGAAGACCCTCCGTCAAATAGCTAAGGATGAGGGTCTGAGGGGGGTCAGTAGGAAGAACAAGGAGGCCTTGGTGAAGCTCATCGAGGAGAAAACCACCCATAAATTTGCCCGCCAGGAAGTCTTCAGCAAGAAGCAGCTCAAAGCGCTAGCAAAGAATCGTGGCCTCACCAAGTACTCTCAGCTCAAGAGAGACGATCTGATCCAGCTGGTGGAAGAGGACATCAAAAACGCTCCAGTCGAGGATGAGATCAAGGTCATCGATAGGCGGGAAGCTCTGAATGGCGTATTTGGCACGGTCGTCATCGAACCCGCGAAGCCGCACGATATGACCACTTTTCTGAAGGTAAGTCGGAGCACCATCACCAGCGCCATCTCGAATGCACTCGTTCAAAAGAAGGGATTGAAGGTGCACTTAGTGCTTCTAGCAGAGCTGGTGAAGACCAACCTTGCGACCGGAGAAAATACCTACATCACCCCTACCTTCAGATCACGCACGACAATGATCACGGAATCTGACGACCTCGAATTGGAGATTGCCTTCATGATGGAGAAGGTCAAGGAAAATATGGCAAAGTACATGCGGGAAGGGAGCGGGTGGACTTTCAGCAGCGTCGAGAAGCTAGAAATCCACCTCAACCAATTCAAGCCACTCAAGGGGGGCTCCTTCATATCAACCCCATCGGCTCTCGTGAAAAAGAAGGCGATCGTCAATGTGAAAAATGAGGATGATCGCTGCCTCCAGTGGGCAGTGCTGGCAGCCCTTCACCATGAGGAAGTCGACCAAAAATCCACCAACCGCGTATCGCAGTACAAGAAATGGGAAGAAGAGCTAAAATTCGAAGGCATCGACTTCCCAGTCTCGCTCAGGGCGATCGATAAATTTGAGAGGCAGAATCCCACAATCAACGTCAACGTCTATGGCTTCAACGGCGTAAAGAAGGGTGAGGATGAGGAAGAGGATCTTCAGATTTACCCCCTCAGGATATCTAAGAATACGGGCCCCACCCACGTAGATCTCCTCTTCTTGACTCGCGAAGGTAAGCAGCATTACTGCTGGATCAAGAGCCTCTCACGACTCTTGAGCTCTCAAATCTCTGAGCACGGTCATGAGCTTTTCTTCTGTCGCAGATGCCTTTCCCACTTCTCCAGGCAGAATATCTTGGACGAGCATATGGAATATTGCAGCAAGAAAGATGCAGTCAGGATCGAGATGCCGGAAGAGGGGACCACCATAGCCTTCCATAGTATCAAAAAGATGATGAGAGTCCCCTTCGCGATCTACGCGGATTTCGAGTGCTTCACAGAGAAGCTCGACACCTGCCAGCCGGATCCATCCCACTCCTACACGAATGCCTACCAGCTTCAGCGACCTTCAGGCTTCTGCTATCACGTGAAATATGCTCACGGAGACTACAAGGATCCGGTCGTCTACTGCGGGGAGGATGCGGCAAAGAAATTCGTGCAGTGCGTGGAGGAAGAAGTGCAGGCCATCGCCAAGCTATACAAGGAGAATAAGCCCATGGAGCTGACTGACGACGATAAGGTGAGCTTCGCAGAAAGCACGCACTGCTACATTTGCGGAGACGAATTGGGAGAGGATAAGGTCCGGGACCACGACCATCTCACCGGGAAATATCGCGGCGCAGCACACAACCAGTGCAATCTGGATTTCCAGCTTCCGAAGCACGTCCCCATCCTCTTCCATAATTTGAGCGGGTACGACGCCCACATCTTTGTCAAGGAGCTTGGCCACACCGAGGGTAAGATCAACTGCATCCCCAATACCGACGAGAAGTACATCAGCTTCTCCAAGCAGGTGGGTGATCTGGAGATGAGGTTCATCGACTCGTGTAGGTTTATGCTCAACAGCCTGGATACCCTAGCTAAGAATCTCACCCCCGACCAATTCGCGACCGTGAAGACGAGATTCAGCGATCGCCACGAGCTGATGATTCGGAAGGGGGTATTTCCCTACGATTATATGGATGGACCAGCCAAGCTGGAAGAGACTCAGCTCCCACCTAAAGAAGCCTTCTTCAGCACGCTCTCCGGAGAGCATATCAGTGATAAGGATTACGCACACGCTCAGAGAGTCTGGGAGACCTTCGAGTGCAAGACCCTACGCGATTATCACGACCTCTATCTCGAGACTGACGTGCTACTGCTAGTCGACATCTTCGAGAATTTTAGGGATATCTGCATGGCCAACTATGGACTCGATCCTGTCCACTACTTCTCCTCCCCCGGGCTATCCTTCGATGCCATGCTAAAAACCACCGGGGTTAGATTGGAGCTTCTTTCCGATCCAGATATGCTGATGATGTTCGAGAGCGGGACAAGGGGAGGGGTGGCCATGATCTCTCATCGTCAAGGTAAGGCCAACAACCCCTACATGGAGACCTACGATCGCTCCCAGCCCACCAAGTATCTCACCTACCTCGATGCCAATAATCTTTACGGGTGGGCGATGGCGCAGCCTCTTCCCACGGGGGACTTTGAGTGGGTGGAGCCGGAGGAGATCGACGAGATCCTGAGCTATCCCGACGACCATGAATATGGCGCCATGGTAGAATGCGATCTCGAATATCCGCAGGATCTTCACGACGCCCACAATGACTACCCTCTCGCGCCCGAGAACGTGGAGATCGGTAAGGTGCGTAAGCTTGTGCCCCATCTAGGCAAGCGCGAAAAGTATACCCTCCACTACAGAAATCTCAAGATGTATCTGGAGATGGGGATGAAGCTTACGAAATGCCGTCGTATCATCAGATTCAGACAATCCCCATGGCTCAAGCACTACGTGGATCTGAATACTGCTCTTCGCGCCAAGGCCAAGACCGACTCCGAAAAAGACTTCTTCAAGCTGATGGTCAACTCCGTCTTTGGCAAGACCATTGAGAATATCCGAAAGCGGGTAGACGTTAGGCTGGTCACCACCGAGAAGCAGGCCCTGAAGCTCGTGGCCAAGCCCAACTTCGATCGCCGCGTCGTCTTCACCGAGAATCTAGCAGCCGTCCACATGAAGAAGACCAAGCTGAAGTTTGATAAGCCGATCTACCTTGGAGCCTGC